CTCACTCTTCTCTCTTACACACACGCACACACTCCCTCCTCTTTTCGCTGTGTTGGATGTGTGCAGGTGTGCCGGTACAACGGTGATTCGAGCGACACGATTGATGTTGTTGCATACAACCTGTTCCGCACGTACACGCTGAACGAGGCCCATGTTGACGACATTGACGCATGTGCCGCAGACACGCTGTTCCGCTTCAACCGGTGCACGGTGTTGAGTGCTCGCGTTGCTTACGACACAACGACGACGACCACCACCACAACTACCACCACCACAACGACGACGACAACTACCACAACGACGACGACTACCACCACCACAACTACCACCACCACCACGACGACGACCACGACGACGACCACCACGACCACTACCACTACCACAACTACCACGACCACAACTACAACCACGACCACGACCACCACGACGACTACTACCACCACTACCACAACCACGACCACCACCACTACCACTACCACCACAACTACCACGACTACAACTACGACCACCACCACGACGACGACAACCACTACAACAACCACGACTACGACCACCACCACGACAACTACCACAACTACAACCACCACCACCACCACCACGACAACCACTACCACCACAACGACGACGACCACCACAACGACCACCACCACGACCACCACGACGACGACCACCACAACTACCACTACCACCACCACCACCACAACTACCACAACCACAACCACAACTACCACTACCACTACCACTACCACGACAACCACGACCACAACAACAACCACCACCACCACGACAACCACAACGCACATTGGTTGCATTGCGGATTGCGAGATGAGCATCAACACGTGCATTGGCAGGGTGAGTAGATGGCTTCTTCATGTGAGCGTGCTGCCTTTTCCCTTGTTCTCCTTCTATTCTTGCCCCCCTTCCCAAACATACGCGCTCCACCTCACTACCCCTGTCTGCAACCTCTTACCTACCACCACCACCACCACCCACGATAGAGCTGGCCTGCGCCCGACTTTGAGACGTTTGCGGACTGCATGCTGTCGTACAGCCACTACTCTGTGTCTGCGCGTGACCAGCTGTACTCGTGCGAGTGCGGCAACGTGACCTCGTCCACGACCTTCGATGAGATCCAGGACATCTTTGAGTGCTAGTGAGTTTTCAACAGCAGCCCGCGTGTGCTGTACTTTTGTCTGTGCGTGCGTGCGTGTGTGGAGTTTGTGATAGAATGTTACCGTGCTTGTGAACCTCAAGTTTTTGGTTGCTTGCAGGCACTTCACATGTGACTCACCAATTTGCTTTGCAACCCGCACGCACACGCACACACGCACACACACGCACACACGCACACACGCACACACGCACACACGCACACACACGCACACACGCACACACACACACACACCACACACACACACACACACACACACACACACACACACACACACACACACACACAAACACAAACATAGCCGGTTCTGTGCTGCCAACACGGCTGATCGCAACTGCGACTATGTTGTGACGACGACGACCACCACGACCACGACCACGACCACCACAACGACGACCACTACCACGACGACCACGACCACGACGACACTCGAGTGCCCGACGGTCGAGACTCCCGAGGCGCAGGCTATTGCGGACTTTATTGTGTTCAGCATTCTTGTTGAGGAAGGCAACGACGTGCGCTGTGCAGGGGCCACCTCCTCGTACAACACCTCCCTTGCCGGTGACATCACTTCGTCCATGGCAGACTTCTGGGCCGCCAGTGCCTACAGCGTTGCCTACGACGATTACTTTGTCATCGATGACAACTCCACTGGCTCTGCACAGCTGCTTGTGACATCAAACCTTGGTGACTCGTTTACGCACGTGTGCAGCGCACGTCCTGCTGGCAGCAGCCAGCTGTGTCCACTTGTGGCGACTAACCCACCGTCCACCTTCCCGTGCTTCCCTGGCTGGGCCGAGGTGATCTTGGAGAGCGGCGACCGCGTGCAGCTGCGCAACCTCAAGACTGGTGACCGTGTGCTGTGCATGGCCCAGTCTGGTGGTGACGGCCTTGGCTACTGCGAGCTCAAGACATACATCAACGTGCACCACAGCAGCTCCAGCCCCTTTGTCGAGCTGCACTACACGGACAAGGACGGCAACGCCGACGTGCTCACATCCACCCCGGATCACTACATCTTCCGTGCCAGCGAGGACGTGGATGTGTCGAGCGCATCCACCACCAAGCCTGCCGGCGAGTTCATCTTTGCAGAGGACTTTGTTGTTGGCGACCGCCTCGTGCGCTACGACGACGCCGGGTTTGTGTACACCGTTGCCATCACCAGCATCACGCAGACGACGGAGGAGGAGTTCTACACGCCCGTCACAGACGATGGCTCCACACTGTTTGTGGACGACGTATTTGCGTACTCCTTTGCCGTGCTCCCCAACCCGGAGGGCCTGCGTCTTATGAACGCCCCGCTGTGGCAGAACGACGACGCGCGCTTCAGCGTGCCGACCGCCGCCATCGACTTCCCCGAGGGCCTGCACCCGTTCATCTCCGAGCGCGCCCGCACGGTTGCCCAGGCCAAGCTGGACGGCATGTCGCTTGACTTTGGTGGTCTTCTTGGCTACATTGGCCAGCAGCTTGAGGCCGGCCACATCTTCTCCGAGCAGGAGATGCTCGACCTCACGGTTTCCTACATCAACTAACTTTTCTGCGCAAGTGCCGAAATCAATGCATCGGCGGACAGACGGTGCGTGTCCGTTTTTGTGCCAAATCCCAGCCGGTGGCACGCGATGATTGTTTGGTTTCCCACGCCATGTCTGAGCGGCATGTCTTCAAAGTTGTACGCTGATCGTTGAATTGTCAAAGTGTGTGGTGGTGCAGTGCGTTTGTGTTGTTGTCGTTACACCCTTTTTTCATTCATGTTTCACCTATCGCTCCAAGCGCCTTGCGTATGATACGTAGCTTTGTGATTTGTGTTCCAATTCTCTTTTGTGTGTACGTCTGTATGCGTGTATGTGTGCCTCTGAATTTGTGGATGTACGTGTGCGTGTGCATCTGTGTGTGTGTGTGTGCATCTGTGTGTGTGTGTGTGTGTGTGTGTGTGTGTGTGTGTGCGTTGCTTGGCTGGGTGGATTGCTGCTCAGTTACATTACAACAGGTGTTTGTTTTGTTCGTGGCTGGCATGACACAGTGACACGACTCTTTGTTTGCGCTGATGGTGGTTTGTTGTTGCGTTGGGGGCTTGACTTTTTTCAAGTTGGTCATGCATGCTAGCTGTGATGTGATGTGACATGACCTCGCCTTGCGGTTGCATGGCTGTGCGAATGACAACGATACAGCGGCACACGCACACATGATGCTGTTATGACCTGACATGGCATGACGACGGTCACCGCACGCGCAGCCAAGCCTTCCTCCCACGTGAGGAGGGGGAGGAGAAGCAGTCATCCATTCCAACGCCAACTCCCCAAGTTCCAACTCACACAACCACACAACACACACAACCACAGAAACAGCAAACTCGTCAGCCAACCCACGCGTTGGCAAAATTGACTTTGTGGGTGTGACGCAAGTTTTCCCAATCAACCACCAAAAAATTAAAAATTTGTTGTCAGTTGCGTGCATGCATGCATCTTGGCTTGGGCGTTTCCGTTGCGGCCACTGCAGCAGCAACGCAGCAACGTAGCAACCACTGCACATGTAATTGCTTCACTTCTTGCTTCTGCCCAGCGGCGGGTGCGACAACGGTCAGGTTCGCGCAGAGACGGTGGCATGCCAGACTGAATGGTGTGCTGTTGGTGCCACTGATTTGATCATCGTCACCTCCCACCCCCAATCTCCCATTCTGCACGTCCATAAACACACCCAAGCAAACCGTCAAACCGCTGCTGTCTCACTGCACCTCACCTTCGCAACTGGCTTTTTTGCCTCGTTGCTGCTTCTTCTCATTACTTCTCCTTCCGCCTTGCTTCTCCTTCTGTCTGACTGCAGCGCCACGCAGAGCGTGCACCGTTCCCAGCCATTCTCGTGTGATCGCTTTCATTTCCTTTCGCCCTTTTTTGTGTTCTGTCAAAGCCCTCGTGTCTTGCTTGCTTGCTTGCTTGTTCTGGCATCTCTTCACTCCATCCATCCATCCAACCGATCGACGACGATGAAGGCCGCCCTGTGCGTGCTTGCTGTGGTGGCCCTGGCCGGCCTCTGCGCTCTCACCAACGCTGTGAGTTGTTTTCGATGTGTGTGTGTGTGCGTGAATGTGCGTGTGAGTGAATGTGCGTGTGTGCGTCTGGTTGTGAATGTCTCGTTGTGTGTGTGTGTGAATGCATGTCGCTGTGTGTGTGAGTGTGTGTGAATGAATGTCTCGTTGTGTGTCTCTTGCTTTGGGCTTGTTAGTTGACTTTGCCCTGTCTGTCTGGTCAGCCGTGTGTCTGTCTTGAGTTGTGTGCATTGCGCGTTTTGTGTGTGTGTGTGTGTGTGTGTGTGTGTGTGTGTGTGTGTGTGTGTGTGTGTGTGTGTGTGTGTGTGTGTGTGTGTGTGTGTGAACGCAGGCGCATGTGGGTGCAACACTCCTCCCCTATTGCGAATGCTTTCTCGTTCAAGTGTTTTCTCGTCTCTCACTCTCACTCTCTCGCTCACTCACCCACATTCTCCCTCTCTCACACACACACACACACACACCCACCACAGCAAAGCCCACCGGAAGGCATTGTGCTTGGCGATGAGCTGACCTCCACGGAGTTCGTCAACACCGTGGTATGGCCGTGCTGTTTCAGCTCTTTGTTTGCTTGCACTTGCAAGCGCTGCCGTCGTCATCTGTGCTGCTTTGTCATGCACGCATCCAATGCAATGCGAGCATTCCTCGCATGCTGTGCTGCTGCTGTGACGGTGCTCACGTTGACGGTGGTTTTATTACGTTCACAGAACCTGGACAACTGTGCGGAGCTGACTGACTCGAGCGCTGGCTACTACTTTGAGGGCGGAGCCGCGACGGGTCTGACCCGCGACCGCTGCTCTGTTGGTGAGTGTGAATGGCATTGTGCATGTGTGTGCATGTGCGTGCATGTGTGTCTGAGTGCTCTTGCTTGCTTGGTCTTACTTGCTTGTTTCGTGTTGCCTTGGTCTTGCTTGTTTCGTGTTGCCTTGGTCTTGCTTGTTTCGTGTTGCCTTGGTCTTGCTGGCTTGGTTTGCTTGGACTGATAATAGCCATGGTGGTGCTGACTGACTGGCTGAATGACTCACTGACTGCCTAACTGACTGACTTGCGTGGTTGACCACACGCAGGTGGTACCTGCCAGTGCCGCCAGTTTACGGATGGCTGCGACAACGGAAGTGAGTCATGGTCGTGAAGTGAAGATTGTTGGTGAAAGGTAGTGGTGGTGGCTGGTGGTGGTGGTGGTGTTCGTGAAGGGTGATGGAAGGCTGTGGTGGTGCCGTGGCAGCAAACCTGCT